ACCAACATGGCCGAGTTGCGAAAACAAGGTCAAACAACTTCTCTACAACGAAAGGAGACTGCGACCACACGAAAGGCCACACCATCTTCGTCTTCATACCTTCGATCAAAGTTAATTTTTGCCTTGCCGAGATTCATCATTTCATACACTACAAGCCGGAATCTTACGGTTGACGCCATCTCTATCCTGTTTCTATCCTAAATACCAAGTCTATGATTTGCCATGACCTAGTCTCTTGTGTGCGACAACCCACAAATGTTGTGATACAGCTTGCTTTGATTTGGTTCAATGTTGAACCACAATATTTGTGCGCTGGCACACAAGAGACTATGGCATAGGAATTAACAGGCCAAGGGCACACCTCTCACAAATCTACCAAATGACTGAAGTTTCACCTTCAATTGACAATCGTGCAAATGCCAGCAAAGTTTCCAATGTTGCCGTCTTGAAGCGGTTGTTTGGCTCACCGGACGGCGCAGGACAGGACATGCGACATGAGCCTGTCAACGGGCCGGGAGGGCAGGCCTGTGGCTGAGCTCGTCCAGCCGAACAAGCCGAGAAAGGAGAGCGCAGATCAAAGGCCTCGATGTGCTCGCCGGTCTAGCGGCCCCGTCTGCCGACGCGGTGACGAATGCCGTCAAGTCGGGCCTAGCGATGAGTCATCCCGTGGGAGCTGTCCGCCCTAGTCGGAGGTGCGGTCGGCCACAGGCCGGCGGCACAGTTCAGTCATATCCGCACTTTTCTCTTGACTGTTTGTCTGTTTCTTTGTCCGTCTCTTAGCCTCCGCACTCTGTTCACTCCAGCCCAGCCTATCTTCGGCTTCTGTTTGTTCGTCTGCTCTTGCTGAGCTGACCGACTTATTCACCTACCCGGCCTATTTCAACCGACGCAAGTTGAACCAGACAGATTGCGTAGAGGGCTGTTGAGACGTATCGATCCTGCCTCAACACGTTACACGATCGATCCACTTCGGTGGATTCCTTCATGTCCGAGGTAGGCCACGTTGGACGGCAAAGGCATGAGCTCTCTGCGCCATTTCGTCTGGCCTCCAGTCTAGCCAACTGTTTGTCGACTCACACGCATGTTGCAGGCGCGCACACACTTACACAGGATCGTGCCGCACATCTCTGCATGGGGCTCGACCGACTGTGCGCTGAAAAAAGGCACTGCTCTCATTAGTCGCAGGCAAGAAAGAGATCTCGGACCAACAGACTATGAACAGAGCCGATTCTTTGAGGCCTGAAAAAAGCGGGCGAAAATAGAACCACGAAACCGCAAAGTAAACACATTCAGGGGCGTTTGTTTGGCCAGGCTGTGGCCGCCTCGACGAAGAAGGAGTAAGCAAAGAGGCGGCCAGGCGCGGACGATACAGGCCCACGCCGTGAAGTGGGCAGAGAGGACAGATTGAGCTGACGAGAGAGGATGGCCGGCTCCTCGCGTCAGTTGGCCGACGGCGGCCGAAGAACGCAGGCGCAAAGTGGACTCTGGCGCCAAGAGTCCGGCGGCCCCGGCCCGGAATGTGTGCGCAGATAAAGTTGAGCCCGTGAAGCGGACGAAAAGCGGCTCGGCGAGTGACGAAGAAAGGAGGTAGCATTTCTGGCATATTTTACCGGCAAACAAGTGAAGCTGATTTTCGACGACTCTCTCGGCATAGAGCATTGTTGGTGTGAGTTGTGCTGAGATTCGTTCATCGAACTCGCCATAACACGATCGAGGAGCACTCTTCGTCTGGCATCGTGTGGCTGTACCGATGCACTCGAGTGTCCCGACGAGTACGCCAACATAAACGCGACAGTGGAAGAAGAGACCCATCGTAGTTTCCTGAACCTATTTCGTCATCACACAATTTAACTCGAGATGTTAAGTCAACACCAACATGAAATCTGAAAATAAAAGGTCACCAGTATTCCA